CCCTTCCAAAACGGAAGTCTGATATTATCAATAGTCGACAAAAGAAAGTAATGGCGGATTCCACACGACTCGAATTTGTCCTCGACTGGAGCTGTCAAATGTGCTTTGCTCTAAAAAATCAGCTCGCTTACAGTCGTCAAATTTACCAAAATGTAAGTCATCAATTGGATTCTCTAAGTGCACCAACTCGTGTGCAGTGGGTGCCGCATTCAATGAGGTCACATTCAACGAGAAGTCGGCTCCAATGAGGCAATCATTAATAATTCCAGATTTTTTTCTCTATATATCTCTTTGTATGTACGTCAGCTCCAACGAGGTTGCAAACAGACCGAAGTCGCTTTTAACGAGGCCGTGATAACCAAATAAAAGCAATTAGCAGCCCCAAAAACGAAGAATTTTTCTCCTTTCTCTCCATCTAACGCGAAGCACAAGGCCCATCACCGATTTCTAACACATTGTGTTGCTAGATCTATTGTGCCTCCTAAAATGGACCCCAAAGCCAAGAGGATGGGCGAGGGTTGACCTACGGTAGGGATGGGAGGGGGTGGGTGGGAACGCGATGCGGGCTGTGTGAAACTGGATGAACTCTAGATGGGTAGGTCTAGATCGAGACCTTCATTTTTTTTTCAATTTTCTTTTCTTCCCCTGATCAGAAAATCCAAGCTCCCGCCTTTACTTTATGTAGATAACTAGGCCTAGATGTGAGAGGGTATGCTTCCACACGAGAAGTGTTCCAGAAAAAATAAATTAAAACATGAAGAAATGACGGTCAGAACTCAGAACACAGCTCAAACAGGCGCACACTGATGCTGTTTGAGATTCCTCATCAGGGGGAACAACTGTTTTAATTACTGGTATTGGTACATTGTGCAATATAATAACTTGTCTCCTTTCTTTTCTTTAGCCTTAGTCGCGTTCAACGAGAGGTTGGATCCAACGAGGACAACAAGCCGGTCCCGGCAACCTCGTTGAATGCAACACCCACTGTATAGTTTTCTCAGTTGACCTTGTCACAGTAAGTGCTGCCCTCTGCAGAACTCCTCCCTAAACGGCCTCTTTCCATTTCCCCCCTGCGTTTTTTCTCTCTTTATATGTATATAATTTCACTGTGTAAAACGACCACCTATCCGCCACGGCCACCATATTTTAGCACACAACCCCTATCACACCAAACAGTAACACTCCTGTCTAAATTTTTTTGCAAATTAAAATGATGACAATCTTTTTTTTTTCTTTACTTTTCAGTCGAGGCTGTGGAAGAGACTGAAGCAATAAAGAAATCTAAGGAGCTGGAGGTACAAGGTGTGAAAGCTGCTGAAGCTGGGGACGTGGACGGTGCCATCACTTTCTTTGGCCGGGCAGTGGTAGAGGCACCAGATTGGCCATCTGCCTACAATAACAGAGCCCAGGCCTTGCGGCTGAAAGGAGATGATGAAGGTAATGTTGATTGTGGTGAATGTGAATGTTTATTTTGCAATATCATCGAACAGGTTCGAGTTGTAAGGTAGCTCCTAGCTCATGAATTATAAGGTCCAGTTGTTTACACCCTGAGGATGTTTTTTTTTCTTTAAATGAAGTAAAGTGAATTTGAAACTGGTCAAGATGTAAAGAAAATGTTGTGTAAATAAAATTCTTTGCATTATTTTATATTAGAATAAAAACTGAATTAGGTGAAAAGGATGTGAGTAGTAGTTATATAATAATACAGGTAGACTAACACTGTATTGTTAATATTTCTACTGTCTGTTTGTCCTGCCTGACCTTTCTTTTATTGCATTATTTTATCATAAATTATATGAGATGTGGATACAGTTTGTTACTTATAACTTTTACAAATGATTGATCTTTTAGTGTAGTCCCCTCCTTGTAATTTTTCTAAATATCATTTTAGTAATTTGTTTTTGTGAAGTCAGTTCAAATGTATGGTCAGTCACCTTTTGTCTTTTATTTTTTTCGGGGTGGGGAGTGGTCTGTTTGTATTTCTTGTTGATTGTCGTTCTTTTTCACAACACTCAACTCTTTTCTCTCTAATTCTTTGAGTTGCTTGATTCTTTGCTTTCTTTCTTCTTGTAATACAATTTCTTGAATTTCAGGTGCTAAAAGAGATCTGGAAAAAGCTTTGGAGCTGAGTCAACATCGTGGCACCGTGGCCTGTCAAGCCTTCACTCAGAGAGGACTTCTCAGAAAACGAGCAGGTTAGACGATTGATTAGTGGGTGGTTGGCGGGTGCTCTGGTGTGGTTTGCTCGTTCTTTCCTATCAAACATCTATCGTCCTTATCTCCCCTTTTCTTTTTAATGTTTGTTACCCTCTTGTAACACCTCTTATTCTTCTGGAGCTCATATGACTTTATGCAGTTGCGAGCGCCGTAAAACCTCTACTAAAACTAAAGACGATTGATTCACTGTGTTGAGCTTAACCTATTCTCTGCCAGACCAAAAGTGCTTTGGGAAAAATAGTTAGCCATTATCATAACTCCTTGGTTTTGTTTTTCCTATTTATTTTCAACTTGGACCTGTTTTGGGACTGATCTTCATTGGTCAAGTAACTGCTGACCCTTATGAATTTATGAGCTTTGTTTAAGTCACATCCTTTGATAGCTGAATATAATTTTAATTTAAAAAAATTACGGACAACCTGAAATATATTTTGGCGTGGTGGCGAAAAAGCCTTGCAATGTTTTAGAACAGATGGACCCCTAATGTGGCAGTGGGCGGGATCGGATCTAGACTTTTGTAGTGCTAAAGAAGATGACAAATGACAGCGTGTTGACCCAAGGTATCATGTAGAGCATTCACAGTTCAGTAAAGGCTAGTGGAAGCCTGTAGGTATTATAAGTGACCATGAACTTATCAAACTTGGGAATAAATTATAAATTATAATGTTACAATGATTTTTTTAAATTGGTGCTAAAACGCCCGCCAATTCTCAGATGTTGAGCCATAAAATGCCTGGCAGTGAGTGAGTTAATAGTTCCCAAATAATGGGCAGTATCCATGGCATGCCAAAAGCTCTACAGGTATCATGCTTGGCTACTGTTTGTTCGTGTACTTTGGTTTTTTTTGTGTGGTGGAGTTTTTACGACACTTCACATACAGGGTGTTGGAATTAGGCCTCTCTTGTGTGTATGTACGTGTGAACATAAGGAACAAACCTGCCTATGTCTAAGTAGACTTTTCCTTTCTTCTATGTTTTTGCTTCTCTGTTTTCTATCCAATATCTTGTAGTTTGAGGGAGTAGGCAGCTCTGGTACTAAGGAGAGGTAACTAGTTTTCCTTTCTTTGGAGTACATTGTAATTTCGAATTTCTCCTCAAAACTGAATTTTACTCTTGTGTGGAAAACATTGAATGTTTCTATGTTATTATTTGTTTTCTTTGCTTGGGTCCTTTTAATAAAAATAAATTTGCCAGTCTTTGTAATTCAGTTATATTGTAAGTCAAATTTTTTTTCTTAAGACTAAAATTCTGCGACCCAATTTTCAGGGGATGATGATGGTGCCAAGGAAGACTTCCAGCGGGCTGCGGAGCTTGGAGGAGGCTTTGCCAAGCAGCTGTTGGCCTCCATGAACCCGTACGCGGCGCTGTGCAACCAGATGTTGGGAGACGTCATGCAGAAGTTGCGTGCTGGACAAGGAGAAATATAGGTTCAAACTTCGAAGGTTTTTTTTTTAGCTGGAAGGTTTTCGAATCTGCACCCTATTTGAACAGAAAGGAAACAAATTACTGTCAGTGTTTATGTATTTTTTGGACAAATTATTTGGCACTATCTAACAGACTCGATTTTTGTTACATTTTCAATTAGACCTACCCACCCCCCTCCCAAAAAAGCATTAAAAATTTTAATACTTCAAAATTATCGTTCAGCGTGTAGCTAGTTGATACTTGACACAGATAAACTGTTGGCATGTTTATTAATGGGACAGCAATGTCTATTTGAATCTCCTATCGTTCATGCCAGATAACAGTGGTCTGTAGTATTTGAATGAGAAATTCTTGGAAGGACAGAGAGGAGAGAAGCGACAAATTAAATTGTTGCCATTTCTTGAGTCGTTTTGTGATGTGAAAAAAGTTTTTACTTGTACAAGTAGCCTACAAGGTTTCTGTTGTCTAACGTGAATGGATGATGATGCCAGCCTTCCAGAGCATCAAATTTTGTTGCCAGTATTTTACTTTTTTCTTGTGAATGTTCCTTCTGTGGCAGCTATAACACAGAGTTTTATTCTATTGGAAGATATATATATATATATGTATGTACTGTTGCTATATTTTCATTGTAAGGCACAAATGATTTCGTCTTTCTGTTTATATGTCTATACAAAGATTATATCTATACAAAATCCGTGAGCGTGGTTGTTTGTTTGCCTCTGTTTTGTAAGGGGCATGACTAAGGAGACTCACCTTCTCCGATAGAACTGATAGAACAAAATTATTAAAATAATAATTGGGAGAAAAATATCCTACTCTCTAAGCTCAAAGAAACTACTATGATCTCTGTCTGTAATCACTATGTGCAAAAAATAAGCTCTGCTCAAATGCACTCTCTGGTCATACGATGGAGTTTTTTGTGAAGTGAATGTCCAAAAGATATTTGAATGGTCTTTATAATATCTGGTAATTGGATTTGCTGTACCTTTTTGATTCTCCAAATGCTGGCTTAAAGCTTGTTCCTCATAGCTTGAAAGAAAAGTCTCAGAATATCAACACACCTTTTTACTGGTTGGTGCTGTGTCAACTTTACTCACTCTCAAGAGTCAATCGATGAATAAATTGAGATTTGAATTTCTTTTAATGTTCCAAGGGAATTACTACATATAGAATTTTTTCAGAGCCAAATGAAGAAAAGCAGAAGCATCATTACCCAGGTTTGACAAGGGTTTCTCGTAAAAAGATACATTTAATGACCATTCCTGCATCAGCTCTCAGACATATACTACTGTAATGCTTTTGGAGGAGTGAGGGGGATGCAGACTTTTAGAAAGTCTGAATAAATAAGAACATTTGTTGTTTTGTTTATGCCTGATGAGTGACGGTCAGACATTCTTAATATTATTATACTTTACTTTGTCATCAGTTTGATATTGTGAAGAACCATGGATTTAGTTTAGGGTGCAGGATTCCAATTTCTTCAGAAAGTATCTTGACATAAGTTAGATAGCTGCAAGTATGCCTTGAGCATGGTTATGGAATTTTGTCGCAAACAGTAGTAGTATATGGTCTGAGTACATATGAGGAAGTGGGTGTTTGCTGCTACTTGTGTGCCAGAAAGGTCAGCTTTGGAATTCTTTTTGCAAAAGAAAAAAAAGATTGAATTAATTTGATATTTCTGTTTTTTTCTGCACGTTTGGTGTGAATGTTCTCAACATGTCTTTCTAAACATAACTGTGATGCCTCTTGAACTCACTCAGTAATGTGACTTCTTCTGTGAGGTTGACTTTACTCTTTACAAAGCCAATACCTGAGCAGAGTTTTGTATTCTTTGTCTGGCTTTTGTGGGAACATCTCTATGCATATATTTTGTGCTTTTCTTTTATGACGTGTTATGAGCCTAGTAAGGTTAAAGAAAGATGCTGTTTGTTTGATAACAGTTTGACAATCCAGATTATTATTTACGCTGATCCTATTTTTGTTGTTGTCCGATTACCCATTCTTATATGTACTTTTCAAAGGTTGTTTAATGAACGTATGAGAAGGATGCTGAAAAAATGAGTTACTCTCCGAATTCTGTTCCTATGGACACAGATAGAATCAAATTTGTAGTTTGGGTTGATACAATTTATCATATGAAATTATAAAAGGCATGTTAGATTTGAAGAAAAATGTATCTTTAAAATTTGCAAATTTGATTTGTCTATTTTTGGCCTACATCTCCTTTCGAGGATTGTGAGAAGTAACTCATTTTGTCAGCACACCTCACATGTATTTGATCTTGTGCCTTCAATTCCTTTCGTACTGTACTTGAAAAAGATTCCATCTTCAAAATATCAGATCAGAATTTACTCTATTTTTACTCAAGACTTTTCTAATGTGATACTTGACAGCATTTATCTGTACTTTGTCTTGCAAGAGATCTATTTTGGTTTAGGAAACTCATTCCATATTACATGTATGTCTTTCATGTAAATGCAGTTTTTCCAGAAACCTATATGTATTGTTGTTGTAAACTAGTTTTGCAGATTGCATTATTTGTTGTTTTTATTTGTTTTTTTATTTAAGACCAGAATTTGATTTTTTGTCATGATTTTAATATATGAAAGAAACTTTCTGTCTACTGTTGTACTTTTCTAGAGAAAAGTGGATAATTGGCTCCTCTTCCATGTCAGTTTAGATCTATAACTTTAACGAGGCCACCTTTAACTTGGAAAAACTGTGCCATATAAATGTTTTTTAAATGCTGATTTGAGATAAAGTGTAGACTGCGCTGCATACTTGAAAATTATGAAAAATTGTTCTTTAAGACTTCTATTTTAAAATGCCTGTAGTAGTTTTAACAGTGCGAAAGACTTACAGCATTACATGGGTTCAAAAGTTTATTATTACTTTGTTCTTTTCTTTTCTTTTGTGTCTTATGATAATGGAAATATGGAATTTAACTTCACAGAGTTATAATGGTAATAAACATATATATATGCAATGACTTGATTCTGTTTGAGTTTCCTTGCCTTTTTAACCTCCAGTCAACCAGTCGTTTTTTAAACTGAAGACTCCTGTGTGTTTATTCTATTTCTTCTCACTATATAATATGTTATGTCAATTTCACTGCGCAGGCGGTTGGCAGGTGCTTTGATGTGGTTTCATCCTAACTTTCTTATGATCAAATGTTCTTTGTCCTTTTCTCTCCTTCTTTTTTTTGGGTGTTTTTTCCTCTCTTGTAACTCTCCTAATCTTCGACACCTATATGATTCAATTGTGTTGCAAGTCCCTGTAAAACTCTTACTAAAACAATATAATACAAATACAATGTCACTGCCACACTGTGAACGCTTAAGCTTCTGTTGTGGGGTAGGAATCGTGGTAGTAGAAGCATTGGTGGTCATCATCATCATCACACGTGGCAGAATGTTGCTCCCCTTGAGAGAAAGCTCTATGGCAGTCTCTCAGAGTTGAAGCGAACTGCACTGTTTGTGCGCGACATCGGACTGACTGTCTTGCTGCTGTCATCGAGAACGAGGAAGAAGAAGAAAAAATCATCATCATTATCATCACTGACTACACAATTCTGCTTTTTCTTGTTTCGTTTTACTAGAAAACAAAATAATTTGCACCATGTCAATACATTTTTACATAACCAAGAAATTATATGGGAACCGAAATCAGGACTCTGGACAAAAAAAAAAAGCATTGGTGGTTGCATTAACAACAGTAGTACATGTGGATCTAGTAGTACACAGAATTATTAT